ACTAAAATATTTTAAAATTGAAATTTAACAACCAAATTATAATTTGATTTGGTTTGATTATTATTTTATATGTTTGGTTAACCAAAAATCGAAATGAAATTGCTAAAAATCAAACCAAAAAACCATTTGCTCATCCTTACATACAAGGCCTTTTTGAGCAAATAGAGCTTGTCTTCATGTCCTTCTACCGCAAACCCCTCAAGCCATTGAACATATATTTTCTCTTGTAAGTAGTCACCGAGAAAGGTAGATTTTACATCAAGTTGAAATACTTTCCACCATTTTTATACAGCTAATGCAAGAAGCATTCTAATGGTGTCAAGCCTTATAACTATAGCAAATGTCTCCGAGAAGTCAATGTTAAACATTTGAGCAAATCCCTTCATCACAAGTCTGTTCTTATGCTTGTTGATAGAACCATTTGCATTTAGTTTGGTTCCAAAAATCTATTTTATTCCAATGATTTTACTTTGTTGAGGTCGGTCAACAAGCTTCCAAGTTTGATTCTTTTCAATCATATTCGACTACTGCCTATATTACGGCTAGCCATTGTGAATTTTTTCAACTTCATTGAATCATGCTAGCTCAAATAGTGCAACATTACATCCCCGATATATATATATATATATATATATATATATATATATATATATATATATATATATATATATATATATATATATATATCGTGAAGCAATCTAGTACCTCTAACAAGAGGATCATCCATTTCTTCACCTTACACTAGTGGAGAATCATTAGGTCGCCTTCTTTCTTTTTCTTTCCGAGTACCATTGTTGCTTTTCTATAAAATGTTCATCTTTGCTTATAAGAATCTTCTCGGTTTGAGGTTGAAAAATTCTACAAGCCTTAGAGATGTCGCTATAGCTAATGAAAATGCCAAAGTCTACCCTCACATCAAGCTTATCCCTTTTCACTCGAGGTATATGTGAAAAAAAATACAACCAAAGATTTTAAGGTTACGTAGAGAAGGTTTGTAGCCATATCAAGCTTCAAATAGAGTTTTTTCTTTTATAGCCTTTGTAGGTAGCCTATTCAGCAAAAACATAACTATATTGGTCGCTTCCGCCTAAAATTTCTTTGGGAGCCCTTTTTCATATAGCATATGTCTAACCATCTCTATTATTGTTCTATTTTCCTCTCACTAATCCCATTTTGTTATGGAGTACAAAAGATAGTAAAGCTGTTCGATGCGTACTCCTTTTCATTATCCGATCTCAAGGCTTGAATTCTACGAGCACTTTGATTCTCAATCCAGACTTCTATAACTTTTGACTTGAACCTTAGGAAGTAAATCCAACTTCTTCTAGTTAGATCATCAATAAAAGTAATATATTATTTACTTCTCCGTAATGATGGTTCGAGCGAGAGGGCCACAAATATTAGTATGGATTAGTTTTAGCTTTTTTGATGCTCTTCATGTAGTCTATGAGAAAGACAACCTTATTTACTTGCCATATTGACATGTCCTACAACTTGATAGAAATTCATCTAGTGACGATAGACCTTACACAAGCTCTAATTTCTTTATTAGCAGTAAAGTTGTATGATTAACATGGCCCAACCTCTTGTGCCAAAGCTTAGTTGTGTTGTCTAAGCTACGATAAGCATCCTCGCTCCTCCAACAAATCCAATGTGAATGCCTTGCCCCTCATTTTCACCTTGAATAAAAAGAACATCAATGATTATTTTAATAGCCGAACAATTTTTAATTGTCATTGTTCCCTTTCCTTTGAAATCTATGTATTCCGTATTGCCAATTCTAATCTTAGAGACAATAAACCTATCAAGCTCTTTGAAAAGCTCCTCATCACGTGTTAGATGATTGGTGTAACCACTATCAATAAATCAACTTTCACTTGAATTAGAGGTGGCAAAACAGAGTTGCCATAAATATTTATTCTTCTTTTTCTTGATCTTGTAACTTATGCCTTTTATTGTTATGGTTGATTTCTCGTTCTTGTAAATCTTTACAATGTGACTTAGTTGTTTGCATTTATTGCATCTTACATTAGGTCTTCTCCAACACTTGAAATATGGATGACTCTTTCTTTCACAGAGTGCAAATATGAAGGATAACTTTGCTTGTTGTTTCCTCCATTGTTGCTTGTTATTATTTGGAGCATCTTGATTAGTCTAGTTTTTCTTTCTCTTTTTTTTTTTCTTTTTCACCTTCATTTATTTTTCATTTAGCTTATAGAGCACCCTCAACTAAGCTTTCTCGTCCTACGAGCCTTCTTTGCTCTTAAGCTCGCAAGGCATTTAACAATTTTGCCAAGGAAATATTTGACAAATCTTTAGAATTTTCCAGGAAGGAAATTGATGTCTCAAATCTTTTTAGAATAGTCACAAGAATTTTCCGAACAACTCTAGAAGTAGAAAATATAGTTCCAAGCAATCTTACCTTATTTACAATGCTTAAAAATCTATCAACATACTTTTTTATTGTTTCTAACTCCTTCATTTTCTCGTATCTCAAATTCCCTAATCGATTCAAATCTTGCATCCCTTTGACTCTCTCATCGCCTTCAAACTCTTTCTTAAGAAAGTTCGGATGTCTTTTTTTGTCTTCGGGGTCATAATCCAATTAAAAATTATTAGTGAGACGAGTTGAAAATAGGCATGCCTTTGCCTTCTTTCCTCATGATTCCCGATTTGATCAAGAGTTGGATTGTTTGGCAAAGGAGAAACTTTGTATTCCTCCTCCATAGCTTTCCAAAGATCACTTGCATCAAGGTAAGCCTCCATTCTAACTGCCCATACCTGAAAATTTTCTCCTTGAAACACTTGAGGAGCAATAGCTGTATAAGGTGTCTCAGAATCTATTGTGGCTTAAAAGTTTTTGTGCAATAGGTTTAGTTTGATTTTTGAGTCTGGTTTACCTTCAATTCTCATGGCCCTTCAAGAAAATATAACTTTGATACCAATTGTTGGACTCAGGAGCTCAAAATGAAAACAGAAAAATGGTAGGAATAAAAATTGTAAAGGATGAAACAAGTTTATATCTTTTTCAGAATTACAAAACATCTTTAAATACACAAACTTCTCGACCAAAGTCCCTATAAATCTGCATATAAACAACTAGCTAACCCACTGCTAGAGAACAACCACTAACACTTCTAGTTACAAAATAACAACTAACAAACAAAATGGAAAATGCATGAAAGACATCGTCAAAAATTCCATATCTGTTTATTTCAAATCAGCTACGGAGGCATACGGACAAAAATGAGGAAGAAAAACAAGGGTAGATTGGTTCAAGCTTTTACGAGGCCTTATACACGTTCCAAGATATAGCTTTGTTACTTTGTTAGCCATCCTTAATAGCCTTAGTACTATAGACAGGTGAAGTAGAACGGGAAGGAATGTTGATCCGATGTGTCTTTTGTGCAATGCTGAAGATGAAAACATAAATCGTATTTCCTTCACTTGATCCATCAGCAAGAAGATACGGCACAAATTATTACAGCTTTTCCAAATTAATAAACAAGTGGATGAATGGGATTTGGAGTTTCGTCAAGCCAAGCGGTATCTTTAAAAGAAGGGAACAACATGTTTGCTCTCTATTGAGCATCATGTGGTGTACCTATTTATATCACATTTGGAAAGAATTTTATAACAAGTTGTGTAAGAGTGAATTTTCTTCAGAATATAAAATTCTGAAAGGCATTATTCAAGGTGTGCACAACAGGTTGTACAGTCTAAGCTACTGGAGGAGGCTGCTGCAAGTACTAGACTTTCTGATATTTATCAAATCTGAAACTTCGATATCAGTTGATTGCTTTTTTTTTCTTGTTTAGTTATTTCTTTGTACAGTTTTTGTTGTAAGTAGGATCATATCCTGCTAAGTTGTTTCTTGACCAATGAAGCCTTCATTTATCAAAAAAAGAAAAAAGCACATGGAGATGGAGTGGAGAATGAATTAATATATGTGTTGGCTTCTCATTGGACCTGGGCAGTGACTATTACTGTTAGCAAGGAGTATAGGATCCTATGCTCACAGAAAAAGGAAAAGATTGTCTTTCTGTTAGGGCTTGAATCAGAGAACATTTTATTGTAGATTCTCCAATTTACTCGATCACTCTCTGTGTTTTTCTAACTCATTTTTTCCTGTATTTCTTATCCCCAGATCCTTTTTTTTTTTTTTTTTGGCTCAAGAATGCAAAATAATCGAAACTTTCATAATTTCTTTGAGAAAATTCCTCCTTTCCCATGGCTGGCTTATTGATATAATAAAAAGGAAATGCTAGAACCTTAATTCCGTGGCAAAATCTTACCCTTCACTCAAGAAATGGTACTCTACACTTCTCTTCACCCTTAAATCATCACGTTAACATCCCAATGTTAAAAAATTTTAGACTTTCTTGTAGCTGGCAGTGGGAATGTAGGCGTTGAGACTGTGAAGCCGATTTAAGGAAAAAAGAGTTCTTTTTTGTCTTAATTATGACGAGAGAAAGCATATGAGTTTGATTAGCCAATTTGCCAAAAGATTCAATAAGGTTTAGTGATAGGAGAATTCAGTAAGATGTAATTCTTTGGCAAACAATTTCTCATCAAAACAATGAGCTACACAAATCCAAACAAATGGCAAATGGAATGGCTTATACCATAAGATTAGAAGTTATGTAATAAACTCAAGTGGCAACGTATTAGATCTTAGTGTATAATCAGATGGGATCGAATACTTATTTGTCTAGCCAGTTTTATGTCTATCTGTAGGACAGTTAATTGTCTGTCGCCATAAATATGTGATTAGTGTTTTTGTAAGAGCGTATCAGAAATCAATCACAGATAATAAGAAATAAGAATTATCTTTTATCTAGATTTGTCTTAGCCTTTAGAATAGTTTTATGCATAATTTTTTAGCCTATATTTCATTTTTCCATTTTAATATGTGGTTAGAATAAATTGACCAGAGTCGATTGATCAAAATTATCGTTGAACACCTGAGAATTATAACAACTAAAGCGATCCTTCTCTTAATGGAATCACTCAGAAGAAATGTGAACGCAGACCAGGCCCCAACAGAAACTGATACTGTGGGAATGGATGCTGCCATTAATGGTGATAATGGACAACCTATAGCGAGCCAAAGCAATGGCCCCAGTGGTAATTCCATGGCCCAAATTATGGTAGATTTGACTAACATTATTACTAGACTCGTTGATAAGATTACTTAACTAAAGTTGAGATAAGACAATTGGTCCAGGCTAACAATGATGCTATAGTAACATTATGCAAGCCACTATGAGTATGGCTTGTTTGTTCCATGAAAGTCAGGATACTCCAATGTAAACATCAATTTTTTTGACCAAGTGTTGGAAAAAATGACACAGATATCAAATTCTCTTAAAAGCAACAAGCTACACTTGTAGTGTTTTTGTGAAAATTTTGAATAAAATTAACCTTCATGCTTCTAATATGGAACGCGAAAACCTTATTCTACGAAATGAAATTACCTACCACAGGATTTGACTTTCTATAGGCTGTAAAACTAGCTGTGGAAGAATTACAAGAGCAATTAGGTTTAGATCCCCATTTTGTGGGGTTGAACAATAGGAAGTCATATCCTGAGTGGATTGACCAAGCTTATCTTTTTCCATGAAAATTCAGATGCTCTACGTTTGCTAATTTTTTAAGCGAACATGGCCATTCTATTGTTGAGCATCCAAGACAATTTGCCATCTAGTGTGACGATATAGATGATTACGTTAAGCTTCGCTTGCTCCTCAACTCTCTCACAGAGATGGCTTATTCTTGGTATATGAACTTGCTTCAAAATTCTATATGAAAATGGCAAAAATTAAAGAATAAATTCCATTCTCAATTCTTCTAAATTGAGGCAGAGGTGAGCATATCTGAACTCGCCCGATTGACTCAATTATCAAGCTAATCCACCCAATAATTTGTCAACCAATTTAAGAAAGTAAGGAATAAATGTTTGCTAGATGAGGAATTATTTCGCCTGATTAGAAAATGGTTAACTCTTAAAGGAAAAAAACGTTAAGATCCTAAGTTTGTTGATCTTAATTAACTGGTATCATGTGCCACATGATATGAACACTTGTTAATTGAAAAAGACCAGTCAAAAACATCATCCAGAGGGATGTATTACCGTGATCCCAGTTTGTAATATATACTATCATGAGTGTAGTCCTAGATAAAAAAATTTATGAAGTAGACATCATCGAACTTATTTTGTAACAAAAAGATTTTATATTTGTAAAATTTTAGCAAAAAAACTGATAGTGATCTGGCTATAAAATTTGTCAATAGAGTGCAAAATAATGATCGAATGCCCAAGAAAATGGCATACACGTTTAATACAACAAACACAGAACAAATATTTGATAAGTTGTTGAAAAATAAATAAATCAAACTACTTCCTGATCATGTTATCTGCCTTGAAGAATAATTGAAATGGAGAAAATATGTAAATGGCATAATGCTTATTATTAATTTACTAACCATTAAATGGTTCTTAAAAATGCTTTGTCGATGACGATTGAAGTTGGCAAGCTTAAATTTCAGAAAATATGCTGATTGAAAAGCTTAAATTTCAGAAAATATGCAGATTGAAAACAATCCATTTCCTAAACCACGAAAACAGAACATGGTCAAGATTTAAGGTGAAGACATGCCAAGCATTTTCCCTGTACATATGGTAGATGCAAGAACAAGCTAGTGAAATTTTACTCTACCAATTCTAGAGTCGGTCAATGGAAATGAATGTAAACTAGTAATTATTTTTCCGACCACTACTTAAAGTGAATTCATAAATTATTTTATAATGTTCTTTTTTTGCGATAATCAGAGTTATTTTTGTAATAATTAGTTTTTATATTTTAATTTATGGGATTAGCAAGATCTTCGAAAACTCTCAATTGGATTGGGTGATGCTAAAACTAAAAAAAAACCTAGTTTTTAGACCTTAAGCTAAAATGAGGGGAAACAGGCCTATGATGCAACGCTAATGGAAGCTGCAAAGACTAAATGCAACATATAAACCCAGAAATATTTGTTACACCTTGAAAATTGAAAAAAAAAAAAAAGGTATTTGAATGATAAAAGTCATTTCTTTCTATACGTGGAAAAGACTTCTATAAGTGAAAATAAAGAGACCAAATGTTGTGCGTTTTCTCCCACTTTCCTCCCAATTTTGGGAGGAAAATGGATCCCGCTATTTATAGATTTGTTTAATTTTTTTTTTCTTTCCACAGCCTTCTTCTGTAAATCAAACAAAGGAAAATTTTCATTTACTCTCTATTTTCTTTCCTCTCCCCCACTTTTCTCTCTATCCAAACATTTTCCATATGCCTGATTTTCCAATCATTGTAGGGTGCAGAATACTTATCTTCTGGGAATATGCTGTTTGTGTGTGGTAGTTGACACTAATGATTAATTCTCTAGATCCCTTTCTTTTCTAGGAGAAAAACAGGAAATGAGGAAAATGATTTCCAATATGAAAAATAAAAGCTTACTATAATTTTAGGAGATGGAATTCTGATGACTCTATGCATAAAAACTATCTAGGCTTCTGGCATTCAATTCTTTAAGCAACTTGACTCCTAGTGTTCCATGTTAGTTTATTTGTTTAAGTGGTAACTAACTCTTATATTACAATCGACTCTCTTACAGAGGACACGGGAGGGACACACATGAAGAGAAAACGAAAACCTTCAGAAAAGGGGTTGGAGTTGCAGGCGGGGGAGGTCAGGAAACCCTTGAAACCATTGAAATCTTCTGGTAGATCGTCAAAATTAAGAAGTAAACCTGTTACTGATCTGGATAATGGTAATGGAATATATGGGGATGATATTTCTGACTGACTATCATTAGATTATAGTTGACATTTATTTATTATTTTTAATTGCAAAACTTCCTTATCCAACAAGAAAACTCAAGCATCATTTATTAGTTAAGCATTTTTTGCTCCGTCAAACATACTCTATTTTTCTTTAGACTAATTGTATCCCCAGTCCCTACCAAGTTCACAAGTAGCTATATTGTGATCTAGAAGCCCAACAACGGTCTTGACACTCTTTGACATTGAGTTCAGGACTAAGAACTCATGTACAATAGGATTATTGTATTGGCGGTGTACATTCTCTTGCAGCATCATGTATTTATGAGTGTACATGCAATGTTTATGTAAGAGCCAATCTCTGGAGCTGGCAATTGGGTAAGATGTCGTTTGGGAAAGATGACTTTTTTTTTTTGTTTCTTTTGAATGTCAACTTTTCTTGGAAATTAAGGTACTTTCACAACCAACCTAAATAAATGCACTCACTCCCTTCATTGCAGAGTTGAGATTGTTGTGTCTTGATGTCAATAGGCAGGTAGAAAAAGTCAAATCATATTCTGATGGAAGAACCTTGGTTGAATGTTGGCAGTATTGTTTTTTGGCAAATTCAGCAACCTTTGGTGTGTTGTGATTTAATTATTATTATTATTATGAGGCTAAAAAGGGTCATTTTTCAACTTTAATTCATTTGAAGTTGAATTCTTAAACTTTTTTTTACTGATTTTGAGAATTTCTGAATTTTTAATTTTTAAAAGTTTAGTCAATTTAATGATTTTCAACTATCATTTCTCTTTAAAAAATTTAATTTTTGGTGTTTTGAGCTGAAATTTTACACACGCTGAAATTCAATTTATTTTGTAAAAAAGAAAAGAAAAGAATTTTTCAAACTATATATTTTTATTTTTTGAACATTAAAAATATAAAAAATCAAAGAAAATAGAAAATACTCCAAAATGATTCAAATGTTTTGAAGAGCCCTATGTAAAACTCACCGAATTATATTTATCATAAAATAAAACTCGAAAGATAGTTTAAATTAAAAAAAAAAAAAAGTTTAAGGATTGATAAAACTAATAATAAGATTTAAAAATTTAATTTCAAATGATTTAAAGTTAAAAAATAGTTCGATTGTTTTGACCTTATTATTATTATTTGTTGTTAACCTACTAAGTTGACCGATGGATACATCTAACTATCGGATTCTCGTATATCGGTTAAGGAAAGATACAATAGGATTTATGGATGCAGTTTCTTGCCTTTTGTCATTACTAAATCAATTGGGTCTAAGCGTAATCTATTATGCAATTTTCTCTTATGCTAGAATTGTTTTGACTGGAGTTGCTATGCGGTAGTCTTTATGGCTATATATGCAAATTATCTTTCACCAAAAGCATGACGGAATGTTGAGACCAAACAGACTTTACCTAAATATTTATCCATGTCTTTCAAGTTGGACATATAATCAACTTTCATTTCTTTCTATCTAATGAAAGGCAAATCACATTCAAAACTAGTTGAGAACATGACTAAATATGGAAAGTCATGTAGATAAAAAGTTGTTGCATAAAACGCTAGTAAATCATGTTACTTCCACGCATGATTCCTATAAACAAATAGGATTTTAAGAATAAAACATTTGACATCCATGTTCAATTTTCCATGAAGATTTCGAGTAACTTACTCGTACAATATTTGATTGAAAAAAACGATACTCTCGCTATAATCCTAATTCTATACCGATAGTTCCCCTGCTATCAACAACTTATACTATTTATGGCCATCCTTTGATTTTATGGATTATTTTATAGAGATAATTTATTATCCTTTTTGTTATTTCGGATAGATATTATATGTTAGATTTTTATTTTATTATCATTTGTGCAATTTTTATAAAAAAAAAATTCGGACAAATTTATTATAAGTATTTAAATGTAGAAATATAATTACAAGGGTATTATAGTAAATATACAATAATACATTCCTCAACCCCTTCACATTTTTTGATATGGAATTTGGGAGACCCAACACCTCCCTCAAAGCACCAAAATTAGCTATCAAAAAGCTACAAACAAGCCCCAAGACATCCGAAAAAATAGCTTCAAAACGGACCCAACATCTACTCAAAGCTCCCAAACTCGACCCCGAAACCGTTACCAATAGCCCCCCAAAACCCTTACAGAGCAACCTTTTTGGATAGGTCATTTGAACAACCAAAGTAGATCCAAAAAACACCCCTAAACGAGCTTCAAAACCACCCAAAAAACCCTCAAAAAATGAGCCTAAAACCAACCCTAAAACGGACCCAAGCACCTACCCAAAGCCCCCAAACTACGTCCCGAAACAGCTTACCAATAGCCTCCCAAAACCCTTATAGAGCAACCCCTTTGGACATGCCATTTGAACCACTAAAGAAGCTCCACAAATACCCCCAAACCAGCTTCAAAACCACCTAAACCCCCCCCCCAAAACCCTAAAAAAAGAGGCCTAAAACCAACCCCAAAACGGACCCAACACCTACCGAAAAGCCCCCAAACTCGACCACGAAGCCGTTACTAACGACCCCGAAAACTCTTACAGAGCAACTCCTTTGGAAAGGCCATTTGAACCATCGACGAAGCTCCAAAGACACCCCCAAACCAGCTTCACAACAACCCAAACCCCCCCCCCAAAAAACCCTCAAACAAGAGGCCTAAAACCAACCCCAAAACAGACCTAACACCTACCTAAAAGCCCTCAAACTTAGACCTGAAACTATTACCAACGACCCTTGAAAACCCTTACAGAGCAACTCCTTTGGAAAGACCATTTGAACTACCAAAGAAGCTCCAAAAACACCCCCATACTATATTCAAAACCACCCAAAAAACCCTCCAAAAAAACCCACCAAAATAGACATAAAATATCCCTCAAGACATGACCCCTCGAACACTTTTTGGAGTTAATGCAAAAGAAATAAAAATTATTTGTGATTTGTCTCATTTTTTGTGATTCAATTGACTTTCCATGATTGTTCGCAATGTTACCATATTCTCTTTCTTTTTTTTAATTGCTAAATAGTAATTGTTTATTCTAAAAAAAAGCGGAGAAAATGATGGATAAAAGCAACTTATTATATGCATAGATAATAATACATGTTATACATATTTAAATTAATTTTATGTTGATAATTAATCTAAATTGACTATTGGATTAATTAATTAATAAACGAGTTATCGATTATTCTATGAAGACGATTCATTATCTATCTTATCATTTTAGATATATGCTACATGCTAGATTTTTATTTTATCATCATTTGTGTTATTTTCATAGAAAAAATATTCATACAAATTTATTATAAGTATTTAAATATAGAAATATAATCACAAGGGTATTATAGTAAATATATAATAATATATTTTATTTTCTTATTCTTTTTACAATTATCCAAACAAGAGAAATATATTTTCTTTCCTTTTCTTTTCACTCTTATCCAAACAACAAGTGAAAAATAATTTTCTTTCCTCTCTCTTTTTCTTTTCTCTTTTTTTTTTCTCCCAAGAGGAATTATCCAAATAAGGAGTTATTCTTGCACTTGCAAACCCAACAAATCAAGGAAGCCTATGGAATAATAAAGAGGTTGTCAGACCCAACCTTTAGTTTAACAAATTAAAGAAACATAATTGAAAGTTTCACATCTTTTGATGAGAAGTTTATAGACCATGAACTGTTGAAGTGGTAAAATCACGTGAATGAATCGATAAGCACGCAAGATAGCATCTCTAACAAACAGGTAGACGATTGATGATTAGTGATGAAAAAAGTAGCGAAGAATCAACGCAATCGGACACAGTTGCAAAAAAATGTAGAGAGTTGCAAAATAGGGTGAGAAAGTATAAAGGAACGTGAAATACTGCAAAGATTACGAAGGAGTAAAAAAAATCTATAAATACAAATTGCAGTAGAAGAAAAAGATATAACAAGTCAACAACAAACTTAATAACATTTATAAATTGCAAACAACTCTTGAAGCATTCTTCTGTTAGATTATAGTTTATAGGCAATAATCAAAATAGGTAGTAATCAAAATGACAATAATCAAAATAAATTAATAAATTTATAGGTTGATATTTTAGTTCGTTGACTCTATCTTATAAGTACAACTCGTATTTGTGATCATTATGTAATCATTAAGAATTGAATTTCTACAATAACACTATGTTTGGAGAAAAAGTTTCAATTTGTAAGTATTCTTTTTCATTAATTATTTTTTAAACTTTATTCATTGTTAAGATTAGAAATTCTTTTTATTTTTTTAATTTCAAAATTAGCGAGTTATGTTTTCGATTGTATAAAGATTTAAAAAATTTAAGTTATTAGTTAGAACGATCATTATTATGAATGATCATGCTTACAAGTTGCAACCTAGCTTGTCCGGATAAATTACAAACTTCATTCGGAATTTACAAATTGATTTTTAATTTATTTAATTTAATTTTTATATTAAAAAAAAACCCAAAAACATCTTTAGGATAAGTAGTAGAGCATATAAAATAATAAAGTCAAATCAAAGAAATTCAATTTAGAAGTTAGACTGTCTTGCAAACAACTATAATACTAATTTTTTTTTTTCTTTTCACAAAGTTCTTGACAATCAAGGTAGGCAAAAGAGAACACGCATAAAAAATAGTATACCTTTTTAATTGAAAAAACCATTTACGTGCATGGTAAGAAAAACTAAAGCTATGTTTCTCTACCTCTCTCTTTGTTTTTTTCCCCTCTTTTTTTTTTTTTTTTTTGAAAAAAAAACATGAAACTTTCTTATAATAATATGATATGAAGATTATTGTTTTAATTTTTTTTTTAACTATGTTTATAAGAAAATTATACTAAATTTTTAAATGTTATTTTTACGTGTTTATATATATGCTTTGTAATTTCAAACCGTTAACTATTGAATCAATTCATAAAAATAGAAAATAAAAATATTAAATATATAGTTGAATAATATATGTACCAAACTCATGGCATGAAAGCTAGTACTATAGGTTAAGACATGAAGGAAACCAGTAAATAAGAATTTCGTACTTTTTTGTTTTCAGAAACCAAAATTTTTTTTATGTTTATTATATATTGTTTTTAATTTTTTTTTAAAAAATTGATATATGAATAAAAAAAAGTCTAATACAAACTTAATTTAAGAAATATAATAATACATTACTAATTAAAAAACATATAAAAATTAATAATATTATGTAATTTAATCATGATGATTAAATGGTCCAATGGAGAATTGCAATTGGAACTCAAGCCTCTGGGAAGGCAAGGCATAAAATAAGAGATTAGAGGCATTATGACAACAACGTGCATTATAGTGAAAGTGACGATCACCATATGATAATTGATATGATGCTAAAATAACGTTATGTATTATAACAATACTAAATTTATGTTGATTGTTATTTTATTGGTAAATGATGATGGTTATATTGGATAATAACAAAGGTGACAATTAGCCATATATAAAACATGTATCTGTTTTATTTGATCTAATAAATACTTGTTAAAAATGTCTAATGTGTATTAAAGTGGATAACAATAAAAAACACACTCGCTAATATAATTTCAGCACATGGGTACCCACTTCTTATCCTATTAATACCCATTAATTTATTTTGATTTTTTTTTCAAATATACTGGGATTTAATTGTATAAATTTTAAAAATTAAGGACAAAAATATTTTTTTCAAAAACTTCAATGTCCAAAAAAACTTATAAAGAAATGACTAAAATGCAAACAAATAAATTTTAAAGATCAAAAAACTTTTTCTTGAAAATTACAAGAACTAAAATGAAATATTTTTGACAAATTATTTTTAGCAGTTATTAAATTGGTAATAAATGAACGAGTCCTAACTTGAGCTAAGTGTAGATCGTATAAAGATTTATATAGTAATTTCTCGATAAATAATGGACAAAGTAATTTTTATAGATAGAGCAAAAAATTAAAATAATGGATCGAGTATCTATTCATTGCCACCCTTAGATGATAATAATATGATAAAGTTGATTTGAACAATATAATATAGACAAAGATAGTTATAATATGCTTGGGAAAGTTATTAAGATAATGATGCTAGTCTTGATGAAATTAATTATAATGAAGATAATGCTAAAAGAGGTGGTGATAAAAAAGTGAAATAAAAGTGATGGTTGTATTAACTTTGATGATGAGATTATTAATGAAAAAATGCAAAGAAAACAATAATTGTGTTAATCAAAATGGTCGTTGTGATGATGATAAGATAATATTGATTGTTATTGTAATAATACTATTAGTGGCATAATATTTTATAAATGAGAAAAATTAAAAATTAAAAACCATTTTTCGTTGTTTTAAAAAAAAAACTGACTTCATTTTAAAAATTGTTCGCATAAGAAAATAAACACAATAAATGCAACCAAAAAAAAAAAAAAACTGTAATCATACCAAACAGCACAATGTAAATTATATCATGGTCATCCTTCACCGCTATTGAGACAATTCGAACCTAATCGCACTATAAAGCTTAAGGCCGAGCAAATGAAGGCCCAAAATCATTAGCGATACTCAAAGTGGCCCAGTAATAAATTCCAACTCTCTTACCTTGACCATCGAACGCCACTCCTTGGTGCCCTAGCCTTGGAGAAAACAGAATGGCTTCCACTAAGAAACCCAACGAAGAAATGAAGAAGAAGAAGAAGAAGAGTAGCAAAGGAGTCGGAATCACAAAATCAAAGCAAGAGAAGAAGAAATCGAACAACAAGACAAGAAAAAGTTCGGCAAGAGAACCTGTCGTCCTATTACTCCCATCCTCTAACAGCAGTAGCGACTCACAGGAGGTCGAGGATGATGAAACGAAGACCGGAGTCAAGAATCAAAGCACGAAGAGTCCCAAAATCAAGAAAATCGGCAATGTTAATAATACTAAAAGAGAAGGAAAAGGTGGTAACTTTGATGGAGAAGAAGAAGAAGATGGGACGGCGTGTAGGTTTCCGATGGCGAGGATAAAGAGGATTATGAAGAGCGAAGATTCTGATTCGCTATTTAGTCAGGATGTCGTTTTTTTAGTTAACAAAGCCACGGTACATTCTCTTTCAAATTTTTTTAATCAATTTTTTTTATGCAAATGTTAGGATTAAGGAACTTCAGGTTTTGTTTATTTATTTGAGAATTATGTGTCTAATTATAAAATTAGGCGGGCGGAATGGCGTGAAAGAATCCATATGCCCAACCCCAACCAGTTTGTAATTGAGGCTTCGTTGTTGCATCAATATGTAATGTGTATGTATGCTATGCAATGTTTGGTTTTGCAGGAGAAGTTTGTGGAGCAATTCAGCGAGGAAGCTTATGATTGTTCGGTTCAGGATCGTAAGAAGTCTCTTGGTTACAAGCACCTATGTAATTTCTCTTTCTTTCTATATCTACTTTTATTGTCAATTTTTTCAACTAAGTGTAATGTTGCTCTGTCTGATAACTGCTTTACACAAGTTTTCATAAATTTTCGTTTGAGTTTGTTTGTCTGTTGCTAAAAATTGACCTCTGTTCTTGTTGAGAATTTGGGATTTCACAAGATCATTTTTTTTTTTTTTTTGCTATGTCAACATTTTCAACTGTAGAATCTAGAACCCTTCATCCCACTTGATATTTCATAGATTCTCCTTTTGTTTTCCTTTTCTCTTTGGATTAAAAAAAAAAAAAAAAAAAAAAACCCTATTTAGCAAAATTATTGCACCTAATCTCCCATCTATTTTATCTCTCACATGTTTTGGCTGTTTGCAGTTATGACAAAAATTTTCAGCTGTGCAAGCTAGTTGTTTTATGTTTTGTGCGCACTGCCAAATTAAATTAAATTCCTGTTTTGAACTGCTGTCAGCCTCTGGAAACTATCTAATGGCTCGCATAAATTAGCAAGCAGGAGACAGTAGAATCAATATACAATGCCTTGCTAAATAATGTTCCCAAGTTTAATTGACATGCTTTTTTGTTTTTGTTTTTTTTTTCAGCAACGGTTGTTAGTAAAAGGAGGAGATTTGACTTCCTTTCAGGTACTTTTTATTCATGTTCTGCCCACTCTTTCTCAGTTTTAATGCCTAGTGTAAACTTTTCCTATATTGACTAACCATGCTGCATAGTATAATTTATTTTTTGCATCTAGATTTTGTTCCTGAGAAATTAAAAGCGGAGGATGCTTTGGAAGAGAGAAATTTGACTGAGACAGGGCAAGGTTAAGCCATGGGAATGGAGATGATAATCCTTGAAGTTTTCTCTAGTCTTGAGTTGATCAGGGAATCATGCTCGTTTCATAGCCCGGTCTTGTTTTTATCAGTGGTAATATGATTGCCTAGGCACTGCCTCTCAACAAATTTCATGGGATGTAAATCTAAGAGGGCATTTTGAAATTTGTGTGCTTGTAGGAATGGTAGATGGTTGCATCTCCCCCAACAGGGGGCATGACCAGAAGCTTTTATCGTTTGGTCCATGAAGCATTATGCCTCACACTCTTATGTATTTTATGTGGGATTCATTCTTTGTTCCCAAGCCTTTTTAGTTGCATCCCAGTCATCTTATGGCAGGTAATTTCTAAAAGGCTGTATATGAGTGATTCTTCCAATGCAGTGTAGCTTCATATTATATTTCGCAGTGGTTCGAAAAGGGAGTATTTTATTTAATCTCTTTTTTGCACTCCTAGAGATTTTAGCATTTGCTTGGATGTGTGTGCAGTGGGGAATTGATCGTCAAGTTTTACTCTTTTTCACAAGATTTAATATTTTCTTCCTTCTAATGCGTCTCCTTTTACTTGAACTTGTCCACTCTTTCAATATTTTGTTAACAGTTGCTTTCATTCTCATATTTTCTCATGATCAAATACTTGTTTATATAAAAAGGATTTTATGATGAATACTCAAGAAAATTACCAAGATGGGGAAAATTGCATAATCTTTTCACACCAAGGAGAGAAGAACGTATGCCTTGCTCAAACATGAGCAGGTGCGCACCTGCTCAAAATTGAGCAAGTACGCATGCACTAGCTCCAAAAGATGAGTAGGTGGTGCAGCAGTTCTTTGAATTAATATTGTTGCTCCAAAGCTTATTCGCAAGTCCAGGATACAACCAGAGTCTTTTGCTTAGACATATGCATTATGGAAGTGATGGAAGAGAGTGACTTGGAAGGATTAGCATGATTTCTTAAGGACTCCAACCATTAAGTTCTCAACATCTATTTGACAAATAAAGTATAAACAAGATTCTTCGTAGCAAGGCATAAATTCTCAAAAACCAAAAACAGTACAAATGTCACAATACTATTGGTGGTGACATTTCATTTTACAATCAATTTTTAAACTACAAATATCGCAATGTCATTAGTTATGATAGCTCATCCACTTCTATAAATACCCCCTTCGATCACCTCATTCAAGACTTTTGGCTCATTTGTCAGCCTCATAATAAAATTGGATTTGAGAGCTTGCTCTTTGCAAACATCCATTCCATACTTAAATCCTTTAGTGCACTTCGTGCCTAAGTACTGACTGAAGAATTGCCTGCATTTTCTTTCTTAAGCTCCTTATACATTTTCTAACCTGAAATGCATCATTTATTTAGAACATATCCTCGCCCCATCCTATAAATTTCTCACGTCAACACCATTTAAAAAAAAAAAAAAAAAAAAACTCTAGAAAAAAAAATGATAAACTTCTCAAAACTTTAGATACAAAAAACTCTCGGAATAAAAATCTCTGAACTTATCAAAATGCTTGAGAGTTGATATAGATTTCACAAAACTCTAGAAAAAAAAATACATAAATAAAAATTCCTAAAGCTTATCAATACGCATGAGATTAAAATCTAAACATTTTGATAAGTTTGGAGATTTATCTTCTTATTTTTTTTCTTTCTAAAATTTTGAGAGATTTTTTTCTTATTCTAAAGACGTATCTTGATTCTGGTGCTGTATAAAAAAAAAATTTATCAAATTTGTTTCTTTAGAAATATTTAAACATATAAATGTGAAAATAAAAATCATCATTTTTTTTTCGTAATTTTTAAACTATCTATATATATAATAGTAAAATGACAGCAATTCAAATGGAATGCTATGGTGAAATCTTTGATTTTGACATATGGATATCGCCACGTGTGCAAAGGACTCAACTTTGAGCTAATCATATTATGCTGTATGTGAAAATTATATAGTAATTTGAGTTCTTTATCCATGTGTTCATATATATATAACAAAATATTAATAAAAATTTGAGGAAAGAGAAAAAAGAAAAAAAATTAATCTCAAAACTTCAGATCAAAATTTCTTACAATATGTTTGTTTGTTTGTTTGTTTTTTTTTTTATTATTGTTTTCATATAAACCAATAAAAAGTTCGTACTGCAAGTTTTAATTTAAGAGATATATTAAATATTAATCTTCATCAAAGCCTTTAAATTATTTAAAAGTTTATGATAGTACGTGTAATAATTGAATTATGTATCATTTATACTCTTATCGTTTTTCAATTAAACCATTTTTACTAATATAATTAATTATGAAATCATATAATACAACCTTATAATACTGAATATGGATAAAAAAATGTAGAATATATGCACAAATTGCTATTTTCTTAATTCAGTCATTATCAATGGATGAATAGACGTGTTTGGATTGAATAAATGTAATATAAAATGTGTTTTGGGCTAATAGGAAAATAATTTATATTGTTAAAATTTTTTATACAATCTTTATAATTTGGATCAATAAACATCGTTCACAAGTATTGAATTTGTTAACGTTTCCGTTTAAATACAATAAGGATGATATAAATAAAAACAATTACATAGTTAGCATAATGTTTCGATAAAATCACAATACAAAATATTAATATGGTAAAATATTTATTGATTTACAAATAATTTGACTATTAAAATTTAACTATAACTAAAAAGATGTCGCAAAATTATGAAAAAATATACATATATGGTATGAAATAATGAATATTCATGACCATTTCATATTCCTACTACTCATGTGATTCAATTTACCATTCAATATGAGAAATAAAAATGATGATACAATTTATTCAATTATTTATATATTTTTTAAAAGTTCATAGTCCATTCCAATTCTCTTCCTAATGTTGAAGCGTATAAATATGTTTGATTGTTCATTAATTTGTGTACAAGCATTTTGTAGAGATTGAGAGAATTATTTAGAGTTGTTCACTTTATCTTATAGTGAATTCATTTTCCTATCATCTTTTTCTTCAATTCTATTATTGTTATCATTTCTTTATAACACGTTATCGGCATGAAACTTTAACCAATCGAGATAATAGACTATGAGGTATGTTTCTACTTTAAAAACTTAATCATTTGTTTCAACCATTGGATTTTTTCTACACAAGTGTTGTACCAAAAGATCTAAATTATTTAGATCATCAAGAGATATGAATCTAATTTATGCTTTACTTGAAAACTAACGATACATAGAATATATATTTGAAAAATTTGAATGATTTAATATATAGAATCTAATGATCTAATATATGTTGTTTAAAAAGTTTTAATCTTATTATTATGTTTGTTCTTATTTTCTAACATTATTATTATATATTACATTATAGAATTTTTATAATATTAAACTTCACAAAACTTAATTTTGTGACCCTTGACATTTTGGACAAGAATTATTGATCATGAATGCTTGATGCTCGAGTAAATATTTTCTATTTTTTATGTCTCGAATATGCTCCTATAATAGCATATTGAGAAAAAAAAATTTAAAAAAAATTTTGAATTGATTTCATATTTGCATATTTGCTTGTGGTTAAATAAAATGACAAGCTATTGATGAACAAAAATAAATCTTATCCAATCGCATCTACTTCATTCCTTAAAGTGAATGTGACAACTTATAATAATTTTGAATATGAAAGAAAATGTGGTCATAACCATGGGCATGATCGAAATAATTATCATTATAATTATGATGACCATAATAATACATCTCACCACAAGAAGTGGATAACTAAAAAAAAAAAATAAGAAAAGAATAAAAATGGATCAAGTCGGTATTCGAAAATGAATGTTATAGATGTAACATGAATGGATATTGGTCACGTACTTATTGTACGTCAAAACACCTTATTGAGCATTATCTAGCCTTATTGAAAAAGAAAAGACTAAATTATAGAGATCAATTTTATAAATCGAAATGGAGGTAATTTAAATTAATAACTTGTTAACTTTTTTATTTATAAATAAAATGTTTTATATTTTCTTATAATTTTTATTGCATATATATATATATATATATATATATATATATATATATATGTGTGGGTGGGTGGGTGTGTGAAGAATATATTTATTTATTTTATGTTAATATTATATCTAATAATATCAATTTAATGAAAAGCTCTAAAAGAGAGATTATATCATTATCTAAAGAAATAAATTTTTGAGACTTTAGAAAAACGAATATATTATTACTTTAAGAGATAACTTTAAAAGGCTTTAGAAGAGCGAATATATTATTACTTGAAGTAACATAATTTAAAAGCTCCAGAAGGACAAATATGTTATTATTTGAAAGAATAAATTTTATTATAAATTATGTACTATTCTTTTTAAAGTCATGGAAATTTATTGAATTCTAAAGATATTCATCTAAATTGATATTATATCAAGACAACAAATGTGAAAAATATTGAATACTTATACATTATAATTATCATATTGGGTAGAAAATATGTATTGAAAAAATTTATCCGCTTTCTCTTTTGGTCTTTATTACAAACATTGAAATAATTAAAACAAATGTTGTAGTAAACTAGTAGTTTACTAATTTAAATACTTTTATTATATGGTGTGACTAATTGTTTTATCCTAGGCCTTTCATGATGCAAAAAAATAATTAAAAATTCATATGGATATTTATTGAAGGGCCAAAACATTTTTCAATTTAATGAATTTTCGTATTCCGTATGTTATCAAGGCAAATTGATTATTAAATCATCACTAAGTAAAATTGAGATTGAATCTCTAATATTTTTAGGATGTATTCAAGGTGATATGTGTGAATCAATTCATCCACCATGTGGACCATTTAGATATTTTATAATTTTAATAGATGCATCCATAAAATGGTTACATGTATATTTATTACCTACTTGAAACCTAATGTTTTCGAGATTACCAACCCAAATAATTCAATTACAAGCATAATTTTGTAAATTATGCCATTAAAAAAATTCACATTGATAATACTCGGTGAATTTATTTTCTAAGCATTAAATGATTATTGATTGGCTATTAGAATAAAGGTTGAACATCATATTGCTAATATTCATACTTAGAAAGATTTAGCAAAATCATTTATCAAAAGGCTCCAATTGATAGCCAAACCATTATTAAAAAAAAAAAAAAAACTCTTTGTTTATGTTTGAGAACACGTAATCGACTCGCAACAACACTTAAAGAATACTCACCCGCATTATCACCCAAACCACCATCACCCAAAGTATCACCACCTATATTATCACCTAAAGCTTCAACACCTAAACTATCCCTACATGTATTATCACCCAAAACCACCATCACCCGAAGCATCACCATCTACGTTATTACCCAAAACCGTAACACCTAAACCATCCCCACTTGCGTTGTCACCAAAACCACCATCACCTAAAGCATCACCACCTGCATTATCACCCAAAGCATCACCATTACCTTTTTCTTGAGTTAAGATTCTATTTCCTTTGACATCCTCTTTTGCTTCCACGAAAACATCTATAGACCATTTTTGACATGCAATACCTAACATTTTTATAAACATCACACCCTCATCTATCATTAAACCTACCCCACTTAAATTTAAAATTGCCTATTTAAACACCATAACCCCAAGTTTCTTATATCCAGCTTCAACAACAACATCATTTATATCTTTTAAATTCATAAAATAAGGATCTTCTAACCACTCGATCGATACAATCCTTACCTCCCTAACATAAGAAATGGGATTCATGCTATAAAAAACTCCATCAACATAAAAATTAATCTTGAAACGATTTGCCATCCTATGGACGAAATACAAACCAAAAGACAAACAGATTTGGGTTATGTAATTCTAGTGATTGAAGGTACGAGAGTAAAGTTTTTTAAGGTATTTTCTTAAAGGTTCACCTCAAGAGGTTTGGGATTTTGAATTTTAGGAATTAGGGACAAAGAGGGGTTTGGTTTTTCATTTACGGAATTGTAGCAAGCTGCTTTGTAACGAAGGAGAGAAAGGAGTTGAAGGGTCCGTGGGTTTGAGAGATGCAAAGGAAGGAGTAGAAGAATAAAGAAGAAGGGAGTATCTATAGGTTCGATTCTAGGAAGAAGGGAGAAGAAAAAGGCAAAGAAAGGAGGATCCGTAGGTTTGATTCTAGGAAGAAGGGAGAATAAGATGAAGGAGAAAGAAGGAAGGAGAAGAGGAAGGAGGAAGATGAGAGGATCCGTCATTTCGATTCTAGGAAGAAGGGAGAAGAAGATGAAGGAGAAAGAAGGAAGGAGGAAGATGAGAGGATATGTCGTTTCGATTCGGGAAAAAGGAAGGGGAAGATGAAGGGAGAAGATGGGAGGTTTTGGAAAGAAGAAAGGAAGAAAAATGGATGATCTACAAAAACGACTTCGTTTGGGGAATTTGAAAAAGCAACACGAGATGAAGGATTGAGGAATTTGAAAAGGGTTAGGGTTAATTTGAATTGGGGATTAGAGATTTTGTTGTAATTGAGGTATATATGGAATGACATATCGTTTAAGTTTTGTAATTGATTTTTCACATCGGTGCTCATGTGTAATCCTACGTGGCGCATTAAGTTCAATCGTCATGCTTCGTCACTTGCCATGTTGTCATTGACTAGATTTTTGATAAAAAAAATTAGATCGGTGTTAATATTGTTATCATAGGCTTAGTTAGTGACCTTTTTATATAATTTTTAAAGAATGAGCTAAATCATTAAAACATTTATTGTTCATGATTTTTTGATACATTAAGCCTTTTAGATGTAGTTATTGTTTATAAATTATACTCTCTTTTTTTCAATAAGTTCAAAAAATTCTTAAGAATTGTCTTCATATCTAGTGGCTAGCTATGAGGTCACGAATCTCTCTTTTAAAAATCAAGAAGAAATATATAGCTTGCAATAAAAGATTAGAATAATTATTTTTTTTAGTGGTGATCAATTCATTCATTTTCATTTTCATGATAATATATATATATTGTGTATATGGTCCTATCTTGAAAAAAAAAAGTTATAGAAATTCTTGATATGAACGATCTATATGAATGATTTAGGTGTGTAGATTTTTATAAAGTTTTTACATTGAATTGAATTATATGTTCATATTTGTTTATGAATTCATCCAAATAATCTATTTACGTAAAAAAAAAAAATGTTCCATTTTGTCCCTATTTTGAATAAAAATTTTGTGAAGAATTTAAACCGGAGACTCAATTAAGAATTTTGAAAACATTAAGAATTTAATGACTTCATACAGACTTAATTTAGACTTATATATATATATATATTGTGGGAATAAAATTTGATTGTTTTTTTCTTATTTTTCTTTTTACCATAGACAATGTAAAGGTGGTACTGTAGTAGACTACCAGGGAAAAAAACACAAAAGAGCTTATGTAAGCCGCATTAAATGTGCTGCCAGCAAAAAGGATGCTGACCGAAAAAGGTATGAGGAGGAACAAAAAAAAAATTTAAAAAAATAAACAAAAGAATGTAATTGCATAAAACCACTAACTGGCAAAACTGAAAATATAAAGAAACTAAAGGGCAAAAAGAAAGCAACTCTCGTCAAACCCATCGTCAAACACCCAAAACACTAAAAAAGCAAAACAAAAGAAATAAATAAAGGCTGTGTGTGTGTGTGCATGTTTTTTTATTTATTTTTGGCTACGTTTGTGAAAGACATTGAAGTTTCAAACAATGCGAGACTTTGCTGTCCAAGCTAATTGGCTTGTTAGCTGTGAAATGCGAGAGTAATGCCTGAGAAAGCCGTATTGGGTACTTGGTTCCGGAAGTGATGGAGAGGTGCACAGGAAATAATGAGGAAAACGAGAGCCGACTCTCCACCCTTACCAACTGTAATTGCCCATGCCTATAGCTATAGGAACAAATCTTGCGTCCTAATGATTGATTGGGGCGGCGATTAATATTTCTAATTTAAACTAACTGGTTCAAGTTTAAATCCAAAATTTTGTTTTGCGGCTAGTTTAATCAGGAGGGTTTTCCATTCTTTTGTTTTAATCCTTGTAATTTGGTAGGACTCACAAATTAGTCCTCATAATTTTTTAGAATTTTTGTTTTTAAAAAAAGATATTTATAGCGAATCCAAGAGAATATTGTGCGTGTGTGTGAGTATAGTCCTTAATTTTTTAGACAAAACAGGATATTTATAGCGAATCATTTTTCTTCATCAAATAATATACTTATATTGGTAACAAATATTAGTCTCAATTTTGTTCTTTTTTATAGAAACAAATTCATTGAACTTTTTTCCAAAATACTGTTTTTTCTTGTAATTTAATGTTTTTTTTCCCCTTTGTTTCAATACTTTTATTCTTCCAAATTGATTTTAATATCTTGTATCTCAAGGAGCACATAGGTTTCAAAAAGTGACAAAAATTAAAGCCTATTGAAATATATTAACATACAGATATAAAAACTCAAGGATTTATTACAATATATAAAAAAAATTGATTGATTTATCCATCATTACATGCTTCGTTAATTTAAAAACAGTACTAATGATCTAACTGAACGATTAAAGTCATAAAAAGAACCTCTAATATATATATATATATACTCCTACAGTAAATTAAAGATAATTACACTGTTAGTAAGCTCGTGTCCTTAATACACTTGTTAGCAGTCATTGAATTCTCAAAATCAAAATTTACTTTCCTTTTTAGTTACAGAATTTATTACAATAATTAAAAATATTACAATAAAATACGAAAAATTTTATAATATTTAATAAATAATTAGAATACATATATAATAATTATTCTATGAACTTATTTTTGAGAAAAGATATATATATATATCACATTTGAACCCATCAAAAGTGATAATAAGATTTTTACCTTCGCTCAAATTTTCTTTTTTTAATTTTCTATCTCTTATTTCTCTTTCTTTTTTGTGTTTATCGTTTTTTATGTAGTAACTTATACTAATTACTTTTTGAATATTACAAAATTTCTCACTTAATTAATATATATAATCAATAACATTCATTTTCATTTAAATTTTTTATTTTTACTCTTTTTTTTTAAATCTCAATCTAACAAAAAAAAAAAAAAAAAATACAACAAATGCATTTAAATAATGCTCAACATGTATTCTAAGAGTATTCGTTAGCTTTTGCCGCGTATATATATGTGGGGATACTTGGCGATGATCAAATTAATGTCCAAACGTCTGATATTGTTGAGGTAAAGTGAAGTGAATTATCCCTAATTTTTAAGCAAGCAAATTGTTGATTAGCTTAAATGAAGTGAATTATGCACTTTCTTCAGCTAGCTAATTAAATGATGGCTGAAAGGCTATCTGAGTGCGAGTGATATAGCTATGGTTCTTGTTTGATGCGGACAATGTCCATCTAAATTCATGTGTATTGTTTGCCTATCTAGCTACACTGACAACTAGCTACTTGAAATGTCCTCTTGGTTCTCCTGATTTGTCATGCTAACTACAAGAATACGATGCCAGTATGATATCTCTGTGTCTCCTGGCTCCAGTTGATAGTTGATACCCTCCACCTTTTCCAAAAAAAAAAAAGATACATAGTTAAAGAACCAGTTACTATGTTTATGTAACTAATATTGTACATTACACCTAACTTGATTCTCTCTCCACTAGATCGACCACTATAAAAAAACCCCCTGTCCTCCTCATAAGCATAGCAATTACCACATCAAATACTTTTTCAAGTACCTGCAGCACCGCTCCATTTTAAAACATTTTCTCATTCTTCCAAAGGGCTATAGGCCGCCACTGCAACAAAACAGTACTACTAGTACTTCAAGATGAGGCCACAAATCTCATTATTGTCTCTTATCTTTCTCTTCCTCCACTGTACAAAAACGTTATGTCAGTCACCAGCTGCAGCACCAGTGATGGCACCACCTACGACCCCCCTGAAGGCACCGCCTACAGCCCCTTCACAGGCACCATCTGCACAGGTAGCAACATCACCTGGCCCGGTTGACGTCGTTAAAATCCTGCAAAAGGCTAGCCACTTCACAGTCTTGGTCCGCCTAATGCAAGCTACAACAGAAGACATTGAGTTAAACAAGGAGCTGAACAACACAAACAATGGAATAACAATCTTGGCCCCAAGTGACAATGCATTCTCGAGCCTCAAAGCAGGCTTTCTTAACTCTCTAAGCGATGAAGACAAGGCTGAGCTGGTGAAGTTTCACGTACTACCAGCGTTTATATCCTCTTCCCAATTCCAGACTGTGAGTAACCCTGTAAGGACACAGGCTGGAACAGGTCCCAGGGAAACACTAAATGTCACCACCACAGGGAATTTCGTGAATATAAGTTCAGGACTGACAAACACAAGCATATCCAGCACGGTGTACACTGACAGCCAGCTTGCTATTTATCAAATTGATAAGGTACTATTTCCTTTGGACGTTTTTACTCCTAAGCCTCCTGCTCCTGCTCCTGCACCAGCACAGGGAAAGCCTAGGAAGGCAGGACCCGATGTAGAAAGTCCTACTGCTCCTAAGGATATTTCTGGTGCTCTAACTCTTCTTATTCCGCAAAATAATGCCTTGCTCCTTGCACTCAGCTGTACGGTTGCTGCAATAATATTTTCATGAGATACAAATGTGTGTGCGAGCATGCGGGGCCGGGCCGGGTGGTGTAACGTCAGTTTCCTTTTTCTTGTTTTAAATATTACTATGGTCATGATTTTGTGGAGTTTGTAACGGTACTGGCGACTAAGATCGATGGTGATCAGTACTGCTTTTCAATAATTGACATTTTCCTGTCACTCTCATTAATTTGTGTCTAAGTTAATTTGCTATTAATTCAGTAAGAATGGATTTTGTGTATTTAATTTGCGCAATTAATTTCACCTTTCCTTAATTTTACATTATGCATATGTTTGATTTTGAGAATTTCATTTGATTCCATCAGAAAATTATTATGTGTCAACTTGCTCGATAATTGTATCTTCTAGCTTCTACTCTTTTTATTATGAATCGTCCTACTACGTACGTATATGTAGAGAAGCGATTGCCAAAAAAGGAGCGGGGAAAAACTGTTTGTGTGCTGCAAAGTCACATCACATGCGTAAGCAATGATATAGACCCCGCTAAGCAATTCAAGGCTTTTGGCTTTCCCTTTTAGGAATTTTTTTTAATGCCGGAAAAAAGAGTTTGGTAAAGTTTTAAAAACTGTTCTGTAAACCATTTAAAAATTAAAAGTAGAAAAGCTATATAATGAAATTTTTAGATTTATTTTTAAATCTCGTATAACATAAAAATATTTTAATAATTCGTAGAGTCTCTTTGGCAATTCATAGCTTTTGGCATATTTTTTTCAGCATTTGGAGCTTTTTCTCCAAAAGCTAAGAAAAATGTGTATAGTAATGTTTTAAAAATTGCTTTGATAACTATTTAAAAACCAAAAATTAAAAAGTATAAAATGAAGTGTTTATATAAAATTATTTTAATAGCACTTGTTTTCTAACACTTTTACAATTGGGATTACAATATATATATATATATATATATATATATATATATCAAAGTGTATTGTATAAATAAATAATTTTTGAAAAAAAATCAACTAAGTTGTAAGAAACATATTGAATTCAATACATTGAAATAAAACTATTACAAAATCGATTCCGATAAATTTTGATTATATATATATAACTAAACTTGTTGGATGGATAATCACCACTAAATTGGTGGTTTTGTTAAAGAGTTGTGTTGCTTTTTTTATAGCTATTCAACTTTTTCTAGCAATTCATAGTATTTTTCAATAAGTAAACCTTAAAATTTATGTTTATTTATTTATTTATTATTATTATTGTAAAAAATGGTAGATTTATAAGGAGTTAGGGATGAATCGGAGTTGTCTTGAGTAGAGTTCATTAGAGAGTGGAGACGAACCCATAGATAGATATTGTACTTTTTTGTAGGGTTGTGTGGGAGCCTAGGTCTTTCCTTAGTAATAAACATTGTAGTGAGGTATTTATAGAGAGATTGGTTGCTCATACTAGGCACTCGAAGTGGGAATACCTTGCCTTTAATCTCATTCGAGATTAAAAAAAAAATTAGCAAGTCATCATTCGATGCTAGGAGGGGGAACTTGAAAATAAAAATTCATGAGTGCATATTGGCTTATAATTACAATTTTCCTCTATCCAACTTTGCTAAAGAGGTTTTTTAGCAATATAACTTATGTGTGAGTCGACTTTACTCAAATGAGTGGATCATTATAGTTGCCTTTGATAACTTTTGTAAGCGAGCTTGAGGTCATTCTCTCACTTGAACCTTTTAGGCATTGTTACTTCTTGGCCGAGAGTTCTGAGAAGAAGAAGGATGGCTTATCTCTATATTTTTTTGGTTAGAAAGTTGAGTCCACTAAAGGAGGTGTTGGTGGGTATACTAACCTTATAGGAGATTAGAAAAATGAGTGCTTTGTAGTAAATTATAGGGAGACGATGTCGTTGCCTCATAGGAGATTAGAGAAATGAGTGGTTTGTGGTAAAGTATAGGAGGCCCATACCTCTAGTTAGAGCTTGAGAGGTGTGCTTTCTTTTAAAAAAACCCCCTATAGGTAATTACAATTCCATCTCTTTAAAATCTTATGTTGATTGGGACTTTTAGAAGCAAGTGAAGAGTAGAGTCCGTATCTATTGAATCAGCCTTCTAGCTAAGAGGTTGTCCTTTGCTCATAGTTTGAGTTTTAAATAAGCTAAATATTTTTTTCTTGTCAAAAAATTAAAATTTTGTTATAGGTATGTTGACTTTTTTTGGTCTTTATAATGAATGAGGCACCAAAGAAAGAACATGATCCGGCTTGGCCATCTTATGAACAACTCCGAAAATGAGAGACTAGAGTTCTAGAATACAACCCCTACCGTTAGTGAGGGTGAAGACTAGAAAGTGGTCTTCTTGAACAAATTTTCCTTCTTCATATCGTGCGTGTCTACTTGTAAGGATATCATACAAGAGAAGAAGGAAATGGGACTACGTAGGGATGTCGCTCGACTACTTAAAAGATAAATTGATCATGCTACTTCCACTCGTAAAAGATTCAACAAAGGAACAACTAGTAGCCTTAGCATGTACCCTAGCCTACCATCGATCAACTAGTGGCTCTCATTAATCTACTCAATGTTGGGGTTCCTAACTCAACTAAATAAATTCCCCCGACTATACATCACTTAGAGAAAGAATTGATGAGACGTCTACCTATAAATTATGAAATAGCTTTTCTCATACGTCACCTTCTTTTTTTTAGAGGAGTAGCTTCATATGAAAGAGGAGCTCTTTAGAGATGCAACCACTTTATGGGATAAGAAAGACGAGAAATATTCCCATCTATTTAGGTACCTTTTCATTTTTTTTTAGGATATGATGCTCTATAAAGACAACTCTATGTCCAAGTAAATAAGGAAAGCCATGCATTTTATCTTTTTTATAAGTATATGTTCTCCTTTTTTTAATGTTTGGCTATATTTATAAATTGTTAATCCTACTTTGTTTCTAGGGTTGCTATATTGAAGTTTATAACATTATAATTAGAAAGTAAAAAAGAATGAGGTCTATGGATTGTTAAAGCATACCATAACTTCTAGATAGCTGTTCTCATGAGGGAGAAGAGTTGTAATAATTTTTCACTAAGATGGGGAAAAAGATGAAGAAGATAGATGACTCTTTAGCTAAGACTATTAATGATAAAAAAAATATTATAGTATGTAAGTTGCTTACTAGTAAGGGATATCATTAGTCAAAGAGGCCTTTATAGCTTTGGAGTAAGATATTGCTACAAAAGAGGTAAAAGAGCTAAAGACGACTTTAATAGCCATGACTTTGGAGAAAGATGCTAAGCTAAAGAAGGTTTCCCACCTAAATACATTAGAGAATGACCATAAAAAGTTCCACAATATGTTTTATGGAAATTTCTAATCAATTAGTGTTTTTACTAATTAGATAATGAATGGTTTTTTTTTTTAAATGTCTACTTTTATAATAAGGCAAAAAAGATAGGCATAGACCTTTTCTAAGTCTTTAATGATGAGCATATCTTGGATTTTGATGAATTGTTTCCTATTTGGCCAATTGTAGATGTGGAAAGAACGTTACTCTTTATTTCACAAGACCCTCTTATACCCATCCAACATGAGCAACACCTTTTTGTCCCCATCCAAAAAGAGAACCCACTTCTTATTAAGAGTGGTGAACAACTTTCCCTTACTTATTTTTGGTAGATAGGCCCTCATAATGAGGATGTTAAACAACTTTATTTTTTTTCTTATGAGAAAGGTCCGTATATTAAAGGCGGTGATTAGCTTCCTCCTCATTCTCCTCGAGAAGAAGGCTCTTATGCTATTTGGAGTCTTATTGTGCCTTTAAGTACCGAGGAGACTAATAACTATAAATCTAGTAACGATATACTAGATTTTCCTATTTTTCCTATAATCATTCACCCCAATCTTATAGGGTTAGTTTGTATTCATAATTTGTTAAAGAAACCTTTTCATTGTGCTTTATTTCTTTCTTTTGAATCCAACATCCTATTTTTTCTTATTCTAGATCTAGAATCCCTTCGGATGGTCCGAGGACTCGGTTTACTAAGTATTCAACATCTTTTGCATGCCCTTATAAGTTTGAATCTAAGCTATTAGCTCTTCACCTAAGTTCACCTTTCATAATCTTATGTTATTCACATAGTGCGATGACTCATTTATTGGACTTTCTTTTGACTAGTAACGGCTTTTTTTGGTTGGATCGATAGACTAGAGTCTTTTCATTTTGTCCTATCCATTTTGAATAGTGTGTCATTTGGGGCATGTGGTGCTTTTAAAACTAAACAAGGCATAACCATATTCTTCAAGACGGTTGCTAGTATGGTGCTTTTATACCTAAACAAGGTGTACTTTTATACTTGGACTAGAAAAAACCATTTAACTAGCGTTTGACTTGGTGAATGTTAATGCCTTTATACCTAGTTAAGGGAATCTTTGATTCTCAAAGGAATAAAGTTGTAGTTCTAGAAGTGAGTTCCTTGAGGAATATAGCCATATATTCATAGAGGAATAACATTTCTAGAGGAATGAACTTTTTAAAAAGTGAGTTTCTAGAAGAACATAGATTCTTGAAGAAATAGAATTCTCAAAAGAACATGGCTACGGGTTTTCAAAGAAATGAGATTCTTAATGGAATGAACTCCTTAACGATTGTGTTCTTGGAGGAATGCGATTTTTTAAAAAAACATAGATATACGTTCTTGAAGGAGTATGTCTACAAGTTTCTAAAAATGGGATTTCTAAAGGAATGAACTCCTTAAAAATTGAGTTCTTAAAGGAATAACATTTTTGGAGGAAAGTATGGTGATATTTATTGAAAAAGCCAAAGAGATTTTTTTTATTGATAATATTTTTATTACAAGATCACCATATGAGATCTTTTGATGGTATATTTAGATGTGATAGAAGTGTTATTGATTGTAATTAACCGTATTTATCCCTTTTTTAATGAGGAATTTCAAGGTTAAGTACCTTGTGCTAATGGCTATATTGGCCTTACGACGTAGGGTCTTTCAAGGGTGGTGTTATATGTCAATTTCATCCGAATAACCC